GGGGAGACTCCAGGAAGTGGCCGGAGGGGACAGTCGGGAGTTGATCGCTCCGGAGACGCGGAGGGCGCAGAAACATTGCAGGGCGAGAAAGGCCAGGAGCCTGGAAATGCTCTCCCAAGTATTTATTCTCAGAGGAGGGTGGTCCCTAAATTGCCGAAGAGTGAACATTAAAAACAAGGAAGAGCCCGCTGTCCAAGTCAGACGCACAGAATAGTTTGGAAGAAGAAATACGACGCCCAAAGTGGTCGAATTAAACAAAATCGGGGTCACTTAAAAAGATATCTGACTTGTTACTACAAAGGAAAGGTGTCGTCTTTTAAAAAATAATTTACAGCGGGTGAAAGACAAGTTTAGGTTGGTAAACACATCTGCAGTAGCAATAAATACTTAGTAATACAGGATAAATTCCTCAGTTAAATCAATACTCATCACGTGATCTTACTTAGAAAATATATTAAGTATAGTTCATATTAAGATGATGAACATTACAATCTCACCTAAAGTAGAAATATGTCATTTATAGCTTGGGTTTTGATACCACCATTTTAGCACTCTAAAGGCAGTTAATTATTAAACAAGAACAAAACTGTGCAAAGAATTATTTTGGAGAATACACTGGTAGGGAAACAAGAAAAATCAGTCAGATAAACATTTTGTTACACATAAAAAAGCAACAAGTTAACACAAGTAGGGAGATAAGAGGAAAATATGCAAATTAAGCTCTTTAAAGCTACCAATACACTCTTAGACATTCTGTTTACACAAGAAATCTAAGAAAAGCAGAAGGTAAAGTAGAAGATAAAGTATAGGAAATTATGGCCTTCTGGGGGAGGACAAGTTTAGGAGAAACACAATGAAAATATATAACTCTAATAGCACCCAAGTTTCACCCACAAACCGAAAAGGTTAAGTCAAAATAGAGAAAGGCAGCCTTGAATCTTGGCACACATAAATCTAAACGAGCAAAATGAAGAGATCAAATACAAAACAGCCTCCAAAACAAGAAACTTAAGGCAGTCTTCATTTAAAAACTTAAATAATATTACATTTTAAAAAGCTGACTGACGTGTGGAAATATGGACTTTTAAATTATGAAAAATATATCAATATCAGATAAACAAGTTTGGTAAAATGTACCACTTGTGTGAGAGATACTTAAATGTATAAAAACATCTGATATTTGAAAAAAAAAAAAAAAACAATTATCTCTAACCCAGGAGTGACCTGTAATCCCAGCACTCAGAAGGCTGAAGCAGGAGGCCACCTGTGAGTTTAAGGCCAGCTTGGGCTATGTAATGAAGTTAAGGCTAGCCTTGTCTTAAAAAAGTTTATAATGACATTTTAAAAATATGATAGGTTAAATCTTAAGTTTCTAATATAGATATTTTAGTAATTGATTCAGTAGAGACAGTGTGTTCTAATACAATGTTGGACAAATTAACAATGTCAAAAAAAAAAAAAAGGCTACAAAAGAATGTTACTTGTCCACGTAACTTAACCTGAAGTTAAATGCCTTAAAAAAAAGGAAAGAAAAAAATGAAAAGGAAGCTGTTGGGTAAAACAAAATTTGAGATAAGAGAAAAGAACACTTTAAAAAGGTTACTGAAAATATCAATATTAAGACACATTAGAATGAAATACTGTAAATATGTTTATTGCATCATTTTACACAAATAAATAAGACAAAATGCCTCTTGATTGCCTCAGTCTCCTAAGGACCTGATCAATGCTAATGTAACATGGGAATTAAAATAATAGTCTTAAAATCTGAATAGCACCTTTTATCCAGGAATCACAAATCTATTCATAAACATAAAAGATAAAGGTAATAAGGCCTTGGAAAATGATAAACACAATAAATGAAAATAAATGCAATTAATAATGGCTTTATTATAAAAAGTAACAGTATAGTATGATTGTGAATCTATTAATTATATGTACATACTAATTTTCCCTAAAGCACGCTCTTTATTCTGAACTATGTGACTGTAAGAAATAAGCAAAATAGCATACAAGAGTTACATCCTAGTGATATACATTGATTAACTAATTCACATTATCTACTACTTCAGAATATTTTATTATAGCCACTGATTATTGGCCACTATAAACCCCAATCAAAATAAAAAAGAAAATAGATAATGAGAAAAATCCCACCTTCCTAGGCATGTGTGAGAAAAGTTATGATGGTGGGGGGGTCATCAACTGAGATACTACATGGGCATTTTTCATCTGGCCAGAGATGCAACAAAGTAATCAAAAAAAGTTAAACTATAAATTGCCTATCAAAATAAAAAACTTCAGAAACATGAAATATTTCAACTCAAATACATAAACTATTTAACATGTGGGCATACACTTAAGATGAAGTGTATCAATTTTCTCTCATAAGGGGCATTCAAACTGGCTACACAAAGGACGCAAAGCAAACTATTGTAACAGATATACAAGATTTTTTAAAAACTTAAAGGACCATTGCATGTTTCAGATGGCAACATATTAAAGTAAATATGCAGGCAGATATTTGAAAGCATTAAAACATTCAGAGTGTGTGAATACACACACATTTGTAACAGTGAAAGCATTTAGAATTCAAATGCTTTTAAAGCAATTCCGCAAGTGACTTAGTAAAGCAATGCTTACCACCATAACACTAAGGACATTTTTTTCATCTTTTTAAATTCAAATACAGTTGGCTATCTCTACACTCTTACAGAGAGCACAATTTATATAGCATATTGCTCTTTTTGTCATGTCAACTCTTTGTTGTTTGGCTTTAGCTGCAGGTGGTGTTTTCCATATATCAATTCTGGGAATATGGTCTGTTCTGGCCATATAAGGACGTCTATTTAAGCCATATGCTTTGCTGTCATTGTCTCATTTTGTCTGTCTGGGTTGTCAGTACTCATTTCCACTTGATTTTTCCCCCCACTGCTGGGGATTGAACCTAGAACTCTGCGTGCGCACCGCAAGTGCTCTACCACTGAGCTACATTCCCACCCTCCACATTATTGCTTGAATGGACCAAATATCAATTTGTAAGAGCAGAAAGGATGATGGCTGTGGGCGCAGCCCTAACAACTTTGTCAAAATATATACTGGAGAGGAAATGCAATATCCTGTAAACATTTACATCCTCTTAGCACATATTATCTATGACCGACATCATTATAGCTGCAGAAGTTTAGGAAAGAATTTACTTGCTCAAGTTCTGAAGTCTGAAGTATGTGTGTGCATGGGGCTTCAGTATACAAACCAGTGCTGAGGACATGGCATATGCTAGCTGCCTTTCTGTGACCCAGCCCCGAAC